GCCTGGAGGTTGACTAATGCACGAGCAGGCACTCAACTGGCGTGTCGATGTCCCTGCCGCGACTTCTGCGAATCCTTGGCATCCCGAAACTTGCTCTGACAGCGCTTATGAGCCAGGTCAAAAGGCAAACAGGAGCAGCAGCCAGCCAGGTGACGAAGCCGTCGACAAGTCAATAAATATGCTACCAGATATTCATGGGCGACATGTGCTCGAAACCGAAACCAAAACCAGAACCAAAAAGAGAAGAAGACGACCTGGGCCTTAATCACGTGGCGACGGCACTCGGCACTCGCATGTTGTTACGTCAAATGCAGAGGGTCCTGCCAGACGTCAGAGCATTGACATTGATTTGTTTTTTCGTCGTGTGCCGCTGCGTCTCACTTATTTTCGGGGATTGTAATACGCTTTTGATTTGCCCAGAAATTCCATTTTTCACAATTTAATGCGCATTTCGCTACGTGTTGTCGTCACTGGGGCCATCTGGAACGTGCCCGGAGCCCAGCGCCCAGAGCATAGAACCCAGCAAGCATCTCCGTGCGCCAACCCAGCCCAACCAACCTTCCGTAGTAACATCTATCATAGCCCAGGCATTTGTCACGTGAGGGACAACGTGATTTCATTTTCCTGTCGCCATAAAGGTGACACATTGCATTCGTCCTGCTCCATTTGTTGTGTATTAGTCTAAGTACGAGTGTTTGTATCTGTGTATCTCTCTCTTTAAATGATTCGCTTGTAACTTGGCTTAATAAATTCTGAAGCGTAAACCCGGCCAAAAAAACGAAAAAAAAAAAAAAGAAGAAGGACCAGCAATTTATTCAGCGGTCGAGAAGCGTTCCATTGATTTTCGGGGGCCCAGGCTGGATAACATGTTGTTAAACCACAGGAACGCGAGCAAACAAATTACCCACAGCAGTTGGCCAAAAATTGTTCAACATAACTTCAGATTTTATGGCCCACATGTGTGCGAAAAGAGAATGGCGAAGCGCATAGAAAGTGGCGGGGCATGTGGGTATTCATTGTGGGTTCCAGTGGTTCAGTCAGCGGTTCAGTGGCTAGCAGGGGGCGCTGAGTTTACTATCAGTTTTGCTGCTCGGCCAGTGTGGCTGTGAAATTAGCGCTCCACTGCCTCTACTATTCTTCTCTGCTAAACTGGCCAACACAGCCATTTTGCCCCCAACATTTTCTCTCTCTCTCTCTCTCCTCCGGGCACAACTTGTTCGCCGTCTTTTGCGGCTTGGCCAAGTTTCATGTCAAAAGTGCACTCCATGAATATTTCACTTGCAATCACATTGTTTTCCCGCTAACTTTTTAGATTGTTTTAACATGTGGCGGAAGTGGGCGTGGCCGGTTGAGGGAGTGGCACGTAACGTTGCAACAACAGTATCAAACTTTGGTTTTCACTCAATTTTGGCAATGCTTTTCAGGCATGTGGCCACCCAACGCCCCCTAAAAGCTGTTCGGAAATTGTGAGTCCATGCAGGCAAAGAAAAAGTATAAAACTGCAGTTTTGCATCGGAAATATAAAGGAAATTTAATAGAGAAGAAGCTTAATAACTTTATAGCATTATAGATTAGTAAATAATGACACTTTTATCCATGACTCTGTGGAAAATTGCTCTTTAAAAATATGTTTTCTACACAAACTAAGAAAATGTATATATTTTTTTTCAATATTTTCTCTCTGTGCCCCAATTCATGTGGTACTCTGTGTGTTTGCTGAGGTAATCCTTGATTCCCTTGTGCTAAATTTGCCAGTTCAGTTCGGTTCTATTCGGTTGGGTTCCCTATCGCCTCACCCGTCAGATTGCAGTGGCTGCCCTTTGTGCTGGGGCACGTTAATAGCGCTGGGTAGGTTTGATGGAGGACTTCGTCTGGCCGAAATATGGGAGATTTATGCAGACGTCTGGCCAGCAAAGCAGTCAGGATAAAGGCCACTCTGGCATAAGTAGCCGCTCAAAAGATATTGCGTGTTTGCCTTTTACCAACTGCCATGAAATGCACCTGTAAGTTCCTGCTCTTTTGCCGCTCTATCATGGGATTTACAATGTTGGGCTTAAAGTTTTCCCCGCCAAACTGAGCGCTTAATGAATTTTCATTTCTCTCTTTTTTTTAATACTAAATTCTGCGTCGTTTTTACCCAGTTTGCTAGAGTGCTCGGCAAGCTGCCGCCGTTTCATTTGTCGCACTTGCATCTCCGGCACAGAGCAGGTGCGTCCCTGGGCCTTGGAATTACAACGGTTGCAGCAGATGTTGCAACAGCAACAGCAGGAACTGTGTGCGAACAGCAGGAACCCAGCCATTTTCTATATTTTATGCACTTTGCGTGCTACCGAAAATTTTAACATTTTTTTTTTGCTCTACTCCCACCGCTGGGCGTTACGTAGTGCATAGTTTAGATGAAGGTCAGCGGGCGTAATGGTGGCTTGTCTCTGGGTGAGCAGGGGGCAGAAGGTCTCTCTGTTGAAGTATAAAAACTAGTTTGATAATTTTCTACTCAAATTGAATATTTGCAACTGTATGTGAGGCAAACTTTTCTTATTCTCTGCGAATAACTTTAATGGAAAAACTTTGAATATCAAACCGCAAAAACAAAAAATCCTGTCCAAAGAGAGTACGGGCTAGCGGAAGCGAGGAGGGCCCGGGGGCACCCAGAACGGGCACTAAAATTGGAAAATTGAAATTGAATTGTAGACACAGACATGGCAAACAGGCGACCGAACGACCGAACGACCGAACTGACCAGACACAAATAGAAGACTCGAAATTCAAAAAAAAAACGAACTTCGGCTTCGGTTCAATGAGTGCATATTCACCTCTGGGGAGCTGAGAATAAAATTGAAATCAAATAAATATGCAGGAAATATTCCTGCGGCACGTGTGAGTGCAAATGACTGAGGCCCGACTTTTGCCATCAAGGATTCTTTCATCTTTTTTGAGGCCCCCTCCCATCCGGAGCTCCCCTTTGGATTTCCTGGGGACGCGGATCAGTGCCCAAGTGGCACAAAGTCATTTGGTTTATTAGCACTCGAATGCCAAATCCCAAGACAACAGACAACGAGGGCAGGAAACCCTTGCTTCTAGAGCCAAAAACGTAGGAAGAAGAACTTTCCTCGTCTGACATTATTTCGTTATTATCCGCATCAAGGACTCGATTGACAGGAGCACAGGCACGTGCTGCCAACGCCTTTATCCGCCTTGCGAAAATATTGTCACAAGCAACGAGCCGGGCTCAAAAGAGACGACTAGCCGGGCTACAAAAGAAATTATATTTACCAGGCCAGAACGAGTCAGCCAGAAGAAAGCTCTCTAACGAAAAAAAAAGTCAAGAAAACAAAACACAAATAGGCGGCACAAGTCAGGTCACAACAACAAAAACAAAACTACAGGAAAAAAAGCCGAAGAGCAGGAAAAACAGCAAAGGAATCAAATAAAATGCCAGCAACATGGCATCGAGGGTCGTGCCAAGTCCTGTCGCCTGACAGCCTCCACTTTTTCGCAAGTGCGTGCTGCTGACTTTTGACTTTGCTTACCTATTTTTTCCACAAAAAAAAAAAAAAAAACAACAACCTCCTGCCACGACTCCTAACTCCGAACTGAACTGCCCTTGCCGAATGTTTCCGCAGCAGATAAATACAACATTTGACACTTCATTATTGTGCCCGCAGCGTAATCGAATCAATTCAATTCCAGGACCTTGGCTGGCCACGTCAGGCCCTGTCATGGTGTCAAAAGTGCTTGGTCTTCGGTCCTTCGCATTCGCATCCGCATCCGCAGGACCTTCCCTGCCTCTTCCTCTGACCGTTCATTGTGTTCATCGCTGAGAGCCCCAAGGCTCAAGGCAGCTTGCCCTGTTGACACATTCGCTTAAACGTATTAAATTGTTTGCCATCGCCTTTTGGCATCATCGTGGCAGTTGCCGTTGTTGTTGTTGTTGCTGGCGCTTTGTAGCTGACGCACAGTTTTTCTTGTTTTTCCCGGCACTCGAGGATCCTTGATGGCACTCGGTTTGCGTGCGACTCGGAAGTGCGGCCAGCATAGTCGTATCTGTATCCGCATTCTGCCCTGTCACACTAAAAGTAATCGATTACCTTGTAACCGGATATGAGCGTATCCGCTTTTCGTGGGGTGGACGACAAAGTTCTCAACCCACCCCCCAAAAGTCGAAAGGACAAATGTTGGGTGTGCGTGTGGGTTGTGTTCAACGTTTAATTGAGTTTAATTGGGGCTGGCCGCAATACCTGGCTATTTATGCAATAATCATTGTTTAATTACAAAACCAAATAAATACTCTAATGCCAGGCCATGCAGCAAGGGCCTTTGATGTGGTCACCGTGGGCCTGAATAAATTATGCAAGACACGAATTGCCTAATACGCCAAATGCAACGTGCAGCGTGCAGCGTGCAACGTTCATCGGTATCTGTGCGTGCCGGTGGGTGTTAGCAATTGAATTAATTCAGGGCTCAGTGGAGAATTGGCTCAAAAACTGGGCTTTAATATTTAAGTGCATTTTAACACTTTACAACCGCACACACATAGCCAAGCTAAGATCTCCCCCAGACACACACACACAAACTCTGAGATTGACATATAAAATTGATTAGCAAATCAACAGCAAGTGCATTAAATTATTCGCCCATCCTTGGCCATTCGTTGTGTGCGTAAATTTGACAACTTTCATTGGATGGGCATAATAAAATGCACTTTATGAACTTTCCGACATTTGACAAATATTCTTAAATGCACTAAACCAATTAGCCACACATATGGCCAGATGACCAGATAACCAGATGACCAGGCCATCATGCAAGATGTTGTGTTTATCTAGATGCCGATGCTGATGATGATGATGACGATGATGTTGTCGGGAGACCAAAATGTGTGCACACACTTTGGCCAAGCCGAGTAATAATATTTTGAGTAATTTACTTTATATTTTGCTGGAAAATACCAAAAGGCATTTCATATTAAAATTTCTATCTCTCTATCTGCCTCTTTGCAGTGTCCGGCCAGAGCATGATGACCAAGAACGAGCCCATGTTCATATCACGTTCGGAGACATTCAAATTTATCACCGGCGAGACAATAGTGCTGCCCTGCGAGGTGGCCAACACGGGTGAGTTAATAGGGAACAAACCCTAATAGGGAAATTTTCCATCAGGCATACCAACACGAGCAGATTCGCCCACGCAGTTTGCATTTAAATGCTGCGGTCGAAGGCTCTGCCATACAAATAATTAAGCCGACATTATGCGATGGCCACAACTATGCATTAATCCCCCGGCCGGACTAAATTTCATCCCGACTGCCTTACTCCTGTGGCAGTCCGACCGCAGAAAAACAGGACACTGGCGGTTGATACGGACAGCCCGTAGAGCCCGGGGTGGTGGTGGTGGCATCCATCCAAGACATGTGTAGTGGTCACTGCGTTTTTGCTGTGGCCTTCCGCTCCACTCAAGTCTTGGCATTTGAGCGGCGGTCGGTCCATGTACGTTTTTCAATTTAAATGCGGTCGTGTGTGCGAGATTATTTGTACATAACAAGGATTTAGCATAAGCAAGAGCATCCCAGTCCGGGCAAAAGATTGTTGTGGGTGGAATAAAATAAAGCTGGGGCCAAGACAAGGCTGGCCAAGATGGTCAGAACTTGTGCCACTCGTCAGGGACAAAATGATACATAAAAACTCGGACCCAAAGACTTAGAGCACATTTTATTTGTACACAAAGAAAATAACAGAAATTAAGTTATAATAATAATAATAATTTATGTTTATAAAGAGAATGTCTAGTTAACAACTAAATTTGAAGTTGAATCTTGGCTTTTGGATAACATTTTATATGATTTAACCAAAAAGATGTTGCAAAAGTTTCCCCCAGTGCATGCATCCACATATGTAGCCGCTTATGTAGAACTTGAGATGTCTGCGGTGGGTGTATCCGTTTATAAGAAAAGGAATACAGAACAAAGAATTTCATTTGCGTTTCTCATGCACTTGATTGCCTCTGACAACGACGAACTCCACAGCTTGAGCCAGGACGATGAGACACACACGGACCAAGGCCAAGACGAGGACGAAGCAGAGTCTGAGGATGAGACAGGATGTGGCAGCGCAGGCGATGCGATACATAGACAATTTCTGCAACAAAATTATAGCTGCGGGCATTTGGGTACTAATAATAAAAAAGCATGGCAGAGAACAGAAAATACCGGAATAAAGCACAAGAAAGTAAATATAAGCGGAGAGGCATACAGAGGGCAATGGGGGAGAGAAAAAAAATAAATTGCCTGGGCGTTGGGTTTACTCTGCAGTTCTACCCCAGTTTTAGCCAGTTTGGCCTAATGCGGCATTATGCTAATAAAGTGCCCATACGACAATTTCATTACTGCCATTGCTCAGCTCGCGGCTTACTCGCGCTCTTAAACGAAATAATTAAAAGGCGAAGCCGCAGCGCGATTTCTTGCTTTTAATATAGCATACTTTATGGCGACACGCCTTTCTGAAATATGATTAGGAACGAGTATCCGGCGATTTAGCCTGATTGCGGAAACAGGTGAGCCAGAACGCAGTGCCACATCTTTTATGATCGCGAACATAAAGTGTAAAAAAATAATTGATAGAATTTTTAAAACCGCACTAAAACGTCGAAACTCTCATCCGGCACTTTGTACAATTTATGCGCATTTTCATTTCGTTTTATGGATGCGAACTCGTAAAATTCGAAAGGGAGAAGAAAAAATCACACCCAAAAACAAAAAGACAAAAAAGGGCGCGTGTGAGCATTTCCATATAATATGAAAATGCCTTTAAACACTTATTACGGAGCTTTGCACCCCGAAAAAGAGTAATCTTTCAGCTCGAGTGGTCGGAATGTCATGGAATGGCTGGGGGAATCGTAGGGAATGGTTAGGATTGTAATGGACGAGGGAGCGATAGTCGTGTCTGAGTGCGAGTAAACAGTGAAACATTTCATCATTATCATTTCATTTGAATTTTTATTTGTTCTTCAATGTCTGGCACGCAAAGTCTGTTTATTTCATTGTCTGCTTGTTGGCTTGTCTGCTGCTTCTCTGTTTGCTTTTGCTTTTGCTTTTCTGCTTTTCTGCTTTTCTGCTTTTCTGCTTTCTGCTTTCCTCCTTTTGCCACTCCTGCAATTGCTTCGCAAGGATACCCTCTAGAGTGGAAATACTTGTACTTTTGTCAGCTCGACAATATCAATTTCGCAAAAATCCAAAGATTTCTTTGATCATAAGAGGCAAACAGTTCAGTTCAGTTCATGCTGTCAAAGCGTAATTATATATCCCAAAAGTTTAGGCTCACTCACCCAGTTGGGAGACAGCAAGGATGGGCTAGTATCCTGTCTGAGAAAGCAAACAGAAAGACAGGTGGCAGATTGTTCTTTTAGAGCAGTTTGTTTTTGCAAAATTTGCATGTTAATCCTGTGCCTTTAGAGACAAGTAAATATTATTATATAATTTATGCTTGTAAACTGGCAAATTGTTAAAACTTTCTAAATACACAATATGCTTCATACAAAGAGATGGAAAATCCGATTTAAATTTAAATCGTAATATTTTGCATTGAAAGGAGATTGTGTGGTCATATCCTTTTCGTTACACTGTTGCAATTTTTAAGCTTTTCCAAATCGGCTAATTAATTGCTCTGGCCATTTTATCCACTGCTCAACTTGTCTGCATGCAAAGCCAGTGTCGTGTGAATTTTTCATTGCGGTTACGCTGAAAACAGCAAAAAGGACCAAAGCAAGCAAAGCAAGCAAAGAGCAAAAACATTTAACAACTGGCCGGGGCTAACTGGTAGCTGGTAACTGGTAACTGCCTGTGACTGTAAACTCAAATGCAATAAAATTCAAAACACAAAAACCCCGTCATTGCGGCCATACAAACGCTCATTACGCTTTGATGGAGCGTCGGCGCTCGAAACTATTACCCGGCAAAACGGAAATGGAATCGTACCGCAAAAGTTGAAGTTGTGCAAACAGCAGAACGGACCACTCCACTTGCCATGGAGTAGTAGAAGTACATGGTTTATATGCTACTGGAGGAGCGGTACGGTGGCAACAAAGTTTCAATATTAATGCCATTTACAGTTCTAATTTCGCTTTTTCCGTACACACGCACACCGACACTACACTTAACACACTCACACTTATAAATACACACACAAACACACACACACACTTTGAAACACTCTGGGCAAACATACTTGCTCGTAGAAAGTTTCGCAAGAAGTTGCAGATAAGTCTGCCCCATTCGCTCTAGTTTGCCTGCGGTGGCTAAGCCGCAACATCGTTTATCTTCGGGGGTCATCATCTTATAATATTGGCCTTTCCGACATGCAATAAATTGCGCTCAGACAAACAACATGTCCGTTGGTCGGCCTTTGGTCCCATGCTTTTCCCTCTGCACACTGTGAGAAAATCGAGCTCAAGGCGGACGATGGAAGGCATATTGCGCATACGCACAGTATGCCCAGAGCAAACAGACAAAGGCGCTGCTGCAACAATGCGAACATTGGCCATATTTGAATTGGTCGTGTATGTTTGTGTGTCCGTCTATGTGCATATGGCCATATATGTTTATATGTATGTGTATATAGTATCTCTGTCACTGGGTGAAGTGTGGAAAACTAAAAGTTGGCTTTCGGCTGTAAACAATGAACCAGCGCTATGCAGCAGGACGTGTGTGGTCGGCCATTTGTCCAGGAGGGCAGAAGGAGGCCGTGTTTATGTGAGCCCAGTGAGGATGAGCCCGACATACAAAAACCAAAATGCTTTTACCGAGTTTCCGCCCCACGCCAGCCAACTCGTTCATCCTCATCCGCTTTCTCCTGCTGCCTGCTGCCTGCTGCCTGCCGCCTGCTGCATGATCCTGAATCCAGGACTTGCCGCTCGCTTAACGGCGCAATTGTTTGCATGTATTGTTGTCGTAATGCTTCCCCCACATCCCCTCTCCATTCTATTTCATTCCTTTGCTGTGTATCTGTGTGCCTTTCTATTTAGTTTAGAACACTTAAACCGGAAATTGAGGCGTTTCGTGTTTTGCTTGTTTTCGTTAGATTGTTGTTATTTTAGTTAACAATTTATTTAGTTGCAGCCAGGCAGTGGTACACAGCACACATGAACAAGACTCCTGATTTATGTGTGCCCCTGCAACGGACAAGAGTCCTGATTCCTCCGCCCTGCGCAATCTTCGCTAAGAGTCTGCTGAATGGTGCTAGCAGAATAATTATTTTTGGCATCTCGGAGATCAGTGTTGCCAAGGCATTTCTGTCGAAAATATCAACTTCAAACTCCTGTAGAAAATTGCAAAAATTCTGTTAGCCTTAGAAGCATGTTCATCTTCAAAAAGTATTCAAACATTTCAAGAATTTACATTGGAAATCAACTGACAGCTCTAAAACAAAGCCAGCCAATTAGTCCGAACTTGTTGAAATTACCCAATTGTGCGGCTTGGGAATTCCCCATGGGAGAGCGAATAATTGACAGCCTGACTTGGGCAATTTGGAAGCCTTTGCCCAATTTGCATAACCCTGCGCAAAAATAGACTTGGCAATGTACCAACTACAACTGACGTTGCTTCATTCATAACTCAATCAAGCGGCTAATATGATATGACTGCACTTTGCCAGCACGTACATGTTGCAATACCCTCTTGCCTGCCCCCATCCTAATTCCTAAGCAGGATGCATGGCAGGTGGGGTTGGGCAGAAGTACTCTGTAGTGCCAGGCCCACAACTCAATGCCCTAGCACCTTGCCATCGCCATCGCCAACCTGGAAGCCTAAAGAATTATACTTTCCGTTGACTGCGGCAGGGACACCATCTACATATCCCCGCCCCGCTAACCATCCTCCATCTCCTGCAATCCTGCAACCACAACTCCACCTTCGACTCCTTTTAGAGCACGCTAACGACAGCAGGTGGTGCTCGTTTATTTATTTGTTTTTGCTGTGAACAGTGCACTGCGCCTGCTGCATCGCCTGCCTTTCAGCTTTTCATGGTGTCGCTGGAGTGGTGGGGAAGGAGCCGCTGGAGCGGAGGAGCTGGAGACCGTGTGCCTTGGCTTGTTGATGTTGTTGAACTCATTGCAAATAAATACGCTTTTTGAATGCGCATGTAAATGACTTCATAAGCATTTTATTACAGCCCAGCCAACTTGGTTCTGAGGTCCTGCAGCACTCACTCACTCATCTATAGGTGTATGTCGTTGTGCTTGTGTGTGTGTGTGAGCTTGTGTTTGTGTGCGTACGAGGTGAAATCAATTTAAGGATGGAGGAGGCTTCTACAGCTGCGGTCAAAATAATATTTAAATAAAAAATTCAAATAGGATGAGGCCTTGTTTTATATATTTTACTGTCTTTTGTCTGCGATTGTTATCAGAATGATATTGATAATACGAAAATCTATAATAATTATCCATAAATGTTATGAATTACCTTTATCAGTGATCTTTAATTTTAACAAAATTATGATTTATTGTTATTTATGCAGAGATTATATATGTCTCATTAAAAGTCTTAAGTCCTTTAAGCAGTTAGCCAAAGAAAAATCATTTTGATCCATATTCCTGACCTCAGATGTAGACATTTTCCCGTTCTCTGATTTTTGGGCAACAGAAAAGCTCACTTAGTCGTCGATGGCGGGCAAAATTGTTTTAATTTTTAATGAACGCCGCTCATCGACGCCGAAACACGGAAGTCATACATCATTAGTAGCAAATCCGGTAGCTTCAATACACATTTCAATACTTCTGCTGCTCCATCTACCCTCTCCCCACTCCCCTACCCCCTTCCACAATTCCCGATATCCTTCCTATATCCTTCCCCTGATTTGCAGACCATCTATACTCTGCACGCGCGGAAATTTACATCGAACAACTCACATAAATTGAAAAAGGAATCACAATTAATGAGTTCGATGAATCCGCCATTGCCATTGGCCTGTACGTGGATGAGTGAGTGAGCGTGTCTATGAGTGTATTAGTACACGTTAGGGTGGACCAGGATTATGATTAGTGATGGTGATTAGTGCTTAGGTAAGCCTATTTTAATTTGGGAATCATTTCATTTATTTATTAAATGAAATTTTAGGTATAAATAATTTCAATTTTTAATTAACGAAATTAAATTTAAGCTCTGTTTGTATAGAATATGCCTAGAGGGGACATATTGTAATCTGAAATATTTTTAAAATGTATAAAGTTTCCATTTCAATCAGTATTTGGATTATAAAATAATCCACAAGAACAAAGCCAAGTCAAAGAAGGTCCACCCTAGTTTACATGTGTCTGGTTGGCATCCTTCCTCTGGCATGCTGGCATCATGGCATCATAGGAGCTTGCTCCTGCTCCTGCCGCAGCTACTGCTGTTGAAAGCATCCGAGTGTCTGACTGCCTCTCATTCTGGCATATGATTGCAAATGCCGCACATTAGCGGATATCAAGTGGGTGTTACTGAGTGCCTGTCTGACTCTCATCCAGTGTTGTTCATGCCGCCTGTCTGCGGTTTATATTCCACTCTGGATCTGCCTCTGGCTGTGTGCGCAAGTGTGTGTGTATGTGTGTGGGTCCATGCCAAATTGAATTTCTAGCCTTTTTAGATCCTTTGAAGCGGCCCGTAATTGAGTCATTTGAATTCTGACTTTTCAATTTGCGCTGCCACTGCAATGCAAGCACTCGAACCTGCCATTCGATTTAATAACTCTCGAACATAATTTATCAATTATAATTCCAGCACTGATTCTCAATTTCAATTCGCTCTTAATTCACTCTTAATTCGCTCTTGTTGCAGACACGTACGTTGTGGCCTGGAAGCGTGGCATCGCCATATTAACCGCCGGTTCCGTGAAAGTGACGCCCGATCCCCGAGTGCGTTTGGTCAACGGATTCAATCTCCAAATACGCGACGCCCTGCCCACGGATGCCGGTGATTATATCTGCCAGATTGCCACTATGGATCCGCGGGAAATCACCCACACGGTCGAGATACTCGGTAAGTAGGCCGGCTCACAAATTTGCCAACGACTTTTCGGCACTTGCGCATTGTTATGCAAAGTTCCCAATCAACCCCGTCCCAGATTGACGTTCCATGGGATTTTTATGGGCGAAATTTATGCGGCCGGGCTCAAATCACTAGGGCCCCATTGTTAGGCTTCATCATTCCAGGCCGAGAGCCGAGAGCCGGGAGCTGGGATCTCTACAGTGTTGTGTGTTGGTCAAATTAACATATCCTTACATCCTTAGTGCTTAGTGCTTTATGCGTCCGGGCCACTCAAATATGCAAAGTAGGTTGGCTGCAATTTGGCCGCTTTACGGCCAAAGATTCAATAGAGAGTGGAAATTTTTGTGGAGCTTCGAAAAAATCAAAACTAATCTGCCATTTGCCCCGGAATCGCTGCGCATCCCCCCCATCTCCCTTGCGGGGAGAAGATGCTAGAAAGTCAAAGAGGAGGCAGAGAGAGAGAGCGAGCGAGCGAGCGAACGGATGCAAATTGCTGCTCCTTTGGTTCCCGGTCCTGCTCAACTACTTCCTGCCGGAGACCCGTTGTGCCTAACAAGCGTGCGACTCCAGCTTTGTCTCTGGCTCCTTCTGGGTATCCTGGGTATCCTTCTTTTCCCAGGCTCTCCTTTCATCTCCTCTCTCCTTTCCTTTGGCATGCGTCTTCGGCTGGGCTTCTAATCAGCAATGATGAATAATTTACATATATTTCCCCCAATTACAATGTTGCCCTTTATTTGCATACGATTGTGTGTCTGAGCGCCACGCCCACCGCCTGGCTAACACTTGCCTTTTAACTGTTCCACGAGAATCCTCGTTCCGCCTTCGTACATGTGACTATCTATGGTGTGTGTGTGTGTGTGGAGCATGCAAATTGCGATACAATTCCCCAAATCTCCAAAGTGCTCTGTCTCGCTTTTTCCCATAGCTCCAACTCTATCTCTCGCCGAGTTCAAACGATTGAAAAATAGTTTTATTGCCGACTTTAAGGCGCTTTAAAATCGAGCACTTGTATGGATTTCTGCTAAAGCATTAACCGAAACCCAAAAAACACAGGCCTATAAAAAATGCGTATTTATTTTAGCGGCGACAACTTTTTTCATTTGTCATTGAAACTTGGTCCTGCCTTGTGGTCCTGCTACCCCAGCTCCACCCAGCTCCTGCTCCAGCTCCTTTTGAGTTCCTCGCTGTTTTCTTTTTTTCTGGGCATCGCCGCAGGCAAACATTAAACGGAAAAACGGAAAACTCCTCGACGGCAAACAAGAGAGTGGGAAAAAAGTCGATTATTGAAAAGTTTTGTTTATTTTATGTGTTTATTATGCGCTCCGTTTGCCAAATAATGATCATGGCCAGAAATATTTCGTTTATTGAACTTTCGCAAGGCGCACGTAAATTTCTCTCGCCCCGTTACCAGCCGCCCCTGTCGACCAATCTCCATTATTGTCAAAGGAGAAAACAGGCAAAATAATGCGCTGTCGAAGTTTTTATAGGCTCAGCAGCAGACACGGCCAGCAAATCGGACACCCTCCCCAAAATCAGATCCGATACCCAAAACCAGAACCCAGAAACCCAGTACCCAGTACCCAGTACCGAAAGAACCCACCATGTGGCCCGGCGTATTCGTATATAAATTTCATAAACTTTGCCGCTCTCTGGCATCTCGGCTTGGCAGTTTTTACGAGCGTAAATTACTTTCAGTTTGGCTCACACTAAAGATGAAAAAATAATGTGCGCCACTGCCAAAGTTTTCGCCGTGGTCCTCATAGCACTTACAAAGACATTAGCCCAGGGATGGCCAAAAAATGGACCAGCATTTCGGGATAGCACTGCCAGGAGAGCCGGAGGAGAGAGCTGGGAGTGCCCACTGGCAAGGGCAAAACAATGGGCCAAAAGTTTGCCCGTTGACAAATCTTTTAATATGGCGCCGGGCATTAATATCTGGGTGACCCCGCAATAATTGCAGTCCCCCAAAAACATCTGGCACTCTCACCTCTGGCATATAGATGTATCTAACCGTCGACGAGCCTTTAATATTTGATGAGTCCGCCAAGGTTGGCCAGCTCTGTGTTGGCCAGCAGTCAACAAATGGGGTGGAGAGATTCACCGCAGCAACTGTGTCAAGGACTTGAAAGCATTCTCGCTGGAATGCAGCTGCAGCGGGCATTATTCATGTGACGTTTAATAAAACCAATTAGGCTTCGACATGGCCCATCCACAATCCATCCATTAGCCGGTGGCAGGCTGTCGCCACTCGCTTTGGTATGGCTTATGGGTTGGGTTTTTGGTCAGGATAGTGGGATGATCGGCTGGTGGAATGGTTGACTGGATGGATGGCTCAACCAAATCCAACCGCAAAACATTATGTTATGCGGTGACTGTGCGGTCGGCCATGGCAGCAATTTACACATTTTTATCACGACCGAATCGGTGTGATTTTTAAATGCCATTCGCGCGTGACTTTAAAATCCATTGGCCATTGGCCAGTGGCCAAAAATCGGATTGTTGCCAGTTCAAATGCCACGAGAGAGCCCAATTAGCTGTATAATTATAGGGCCTTTGTGGGTGCACACCGCCGGCCGCAAAAGTCCAAGGCAAGGACTCTACTTTAAGTATCGATAACAATGAAATCATTGAACCGGAAACCATAATTATTGCACAGACTCTGTGGGTATGTGTGTGTGTGTGTGTATCGGTGTGTAGGTGCGGTTTGGCACAGAAAATGGAGACTGGTGTGATTTATATGCACAATATGCCAAAACAACTGTTCACGGACACGGATACGGACACGGACAGGGAGACGGATGTGGCCACATCAGGCGGAGACAGGTGCAGAGAAAGGATACGACGGATGCAGGGAGAAGCATGGACGTAAGGGGGCCGCATTTAATTATGGCCAGCTGGTCGACAATAGATCCCGGCACAATGGGCGGAACAACAATGTTTGTACAATAACAAAAGATGCTGGCTGAGGACGGAGAGGTGTGGCATATAATTATATGCCACAAGGACGATAAACAAATGCCACACATGCACGCACACTGGCATTTGCAAGTTCTTTGGATACTTGAGACAAATTACCAACAGGACACTGCAGCTACAGGAGCCCCCAATTAAATGTATGGATCTCTCTCTTGGCAGCCGCTTAAGTTTTAGCACTAAACTTTATCGGCTGCAACAGAATATGGATTTAAATTACTTAACAGACATGCCCCGAAGTTTTGCGGCCCACAAAACCGGCGCACTTAAAGTTTAATCCTGGCCGAGAATGACTATATATATGTGTGTGTGTGGATGGTTGGTTGGTTGGCCGGTCGAGTGGGTGGATAAGTGGGCGGGCGAGTGGGTGACTGAGCAACTTTGCATGCCACAAAACCAGGACCCGAAGTTGAGCCACCATCCGCCGTGGCTGCTGCGAAATCAATATGAAACAAACTCTGTCAAAACTGGCCGCAACCACCACCACAGCCGCCGTCCCTCCTTCTGATCGCCATGCTCATCCTGCTCCTGCTGCCATTGCGGCGAATGCTTTGAAAGAGCTGCTTATTAAAATTTTTGCCAGCTGCCCACAAAACCAGCAAACCATCAAGCCATCGCCGCTGACAGTCTGGAAGATTGAGACCCATTAAGTAGTCGTCATCTGCATGACATTACATGCCGCAATCCACGTATTACAAGCCGCACAGTCAGTCGCACAGTCGAAATCAATTTCAGTCCGGGTATCGAGTATTAAAAGAGCTTTGCTCCTCCTCTTACCCCTCATTCTGTTATGGGGGGACATATTTATTGAATTCAATATGCGAGTGTACAAAGCGTGAGAATATTGAGAATATACCCAAACACACATACACACACACACACACACAAGAAAAATGGGCAGGGAATTTTCCCATTTGCTCGCCTGCAACTTCATTGCGAGTTATCCGAGTCCTTCTCGCTGCGCCTTTTGCCAGGCTCATGATTTATTACAGTCTAATGCATATTTTGTGGCTGCAGGAGGACTGAGCACTCCGCACACGGGCTGCACTGCGAGAAATAAGGGGTATACTAGGCTTATGCTTGATATTTTTCTTCTGTGAAACAAACTAATAAAATATGTTTATAGTAAAGTTGGTTTCTTGGGTGAAAAGTTGGTTTTAAAGTTCTAAGATTTCATTCAGTTATCTAAATGAGCTTAAATTTCTCTCAGTGCAGCTGTGAGCCACGAGCCATGAGCTATTTGTGCGCCCCTCAGTGATCAATTGTAATTTTCTTTCGAATGCAAATATCCTGGAGAGCGAGCGCGCTGCCATCCTTGCTGGGCTTATTTGTTCTGGCCAAAGCAATAGAATATATTATTTGATATATTGCAAAGTGTATATGCTATGAAAGAATTGCATCAATAACACATGTTTGTGGGTCCACTGGCGTAGTCGGTGATAATTTGATTGGGTATTAATCAGTGATGCGCTCGGGTCAACCCCTTTCGTCCAACGCCCCTGGAGAAACGATGAGATGGACTCTAATTTGATATGTATATTGAGTAGACTATACTATATATAGTAAAGTGTCTCTGTGCGCCTTTTGGTTTATTGAGCTGTTGATACTCGCACTTAAATGTTGAAATTTCTGGGGAAAACCAAACATCAGCAAAGTGTGTGCTGGCCTCAATTTACGGGCTAGCCAAATGAACGAAATCCCCCAGAGCTTTAGCATAACAAAAAGGAGAAAAAAACTGAAGAAAAAACAACGAGACTAAAAATAAAGTAAACACAAAATCACAAAAAACCCTGAGCAAACAACAACTGCCAGCCATTCAGTAGCCCAAAAAATAAAAAAAAATGTATATAATAATGCATAAGAAATGTTCATAAAATGGAATGAAGCCATCGAAGGCGGCAGCTGCCATTGTCCTTGATTTAGTCGTCGCACAGCAGACATAATTTTTAACAGCTGTAAAATAATGCGGCCGCAAGTATAAATAAACCCCGGACCCGAATTAAATCAAACTATGCCCCAGCGGGGTCAGAGAAGAAAAGGGGATCCCAGAGACCAAGTCGAAAAGTTGGAGACGCGTAAATGCCGTTTTCTCTCTCATTCAATTTGCATTCGGGGCGCATTTATTTATTCAAATTGTGTGATGTCCTTGCCCGGCCCCACTTTGCATACATTTCGGTTGGACAGCGGGAGTGGACAGTGGGGACACTGGGACTACTGGGCCATTTCTAATGTGTTTTCTCCTTCTTCTCTCTTCTGTTTATTTGCCCTACAGTGCCACCGAGGATTCATCACATTAGCACCGGCGGACATTTGCAAGTCAAGAAGGGCTCGTCGGTGCGCATCGAGTGCTCGGCCACGGGTAATCCAATGCCGAATGTGACTTGGAGCCGCAAAAATAATATTTTGCCCAACGGTAAGATTGTGCATAAATGGTCGCAAGGACGAGTGTGCCGCAGTCCAAGCAAAAAGGATACCCACCAAACAGCCGAACAACAAGCAAGCCAACCAACCAAATTAAAATCATAAAGACCAACAAAGGACGAGCTGAGCCAAGGCAAAAAATAAAAAAAAAACGCAAAGAAACAAAGTAAATGAATACAGCAGTCGTAAAAGAAAGTTTAAACAATTTCCATAAAAATGAAAAGTCAAAGAAATTATATTTTCTGCCCCCGTTTTTCGACGACCGCTTGGCTCGTCCTTTATTATTAAATATAATGCTCACTCTGCCGGCAAAATCGCAGTGTGTGAATGTGGTGGCTCCGTTGGTGGTTTCTTCTTCGTTGTTTGGTGGCCAGCCAACCCGCGGCGAGGAGACGACTCCGGCCGGACATCAATGTCACTTGGCCGTACGTTGATTCCCCGTAATTGGCTCTGTCATTTCTTGGGCTGCGGACACTTGGAAACCATCCGAGCCCGTACTTTGGGTCATCGTCTCGCTGGCGGCCTTATTGAGTTGCATTTTTCATGCGGTTTTCATGACTCTCCCTTGCAGGCGAAGAGAAGCTCCACTCGCACGTCCTCTCCATCGAGAATGTGGACCGGCACAAGGGCGGCGTCTACATATGCACGGCCAACAATCGCGTGGGCCAGCCCGCTTCCAGCCAGGTCGTGCTCCATGTCCTGTGTAAGTATGCCAACCGCACTTCCATATTTGAGCACTGACAAAATTACTAGTTATAAGTTGCTTTAATTATTAGAAAGAAATTACCTTAGTTCATGTCACAAAATATCAAAATATAAGTTCAGAATATCAAAACAGAAGTTCTTCTTTCTAACTCCAATTATAATTTTCCGCAGTGATTTCATTTTTTAAGTGTAGACACACAATGGCAGCGAAACGAATTAATTTTTTCTGAAAGCGACTGTGCCACGGAGTTCGACTGTCAGTCCAATTTATGTCAAATCTGATTTCGATTTCGAACGGGTATTGACTTTTAACGCTCTCGCGGCACATGCATTCGCGTAGATGATGGAGTCATGAGGGGATTGGTGTCGAGTATGGGTGTGGGGATGGTGGAAAACCAGGAAAAAGGGAATGCTTTTATTACATTTACACACTTACCGACATTTATTGGTTGGCTGGCAATTATTGAAATGCCTGGCGGGGACTCCCGGTCGGTCGTTCTGACATTTATTAAGAATTTATATGTAAGTATAATTTTGATTGGAGTTCGTTACCGATCCGGTTGGTTTTCCCCTCCAGCCCATACCCACCTCTTTGGGTGGTCATTACATGTGCTAATTACATGGCTACCATCTCTATTTACACATTATGATACCCAATGGCCACTGGGCCATTGATTTTTCGCGTTTCGACGCCATTCCGTGAGCCAGGACAATGTTCATGTTATTAACTAATTTCTTAACGTTTTCTCTCTCTCTCTCTCTTTATCGCCCAGTTTCACCGGAAATCTCCGTGGAGCGTCCCGTGGTCTTCTCGGGTGAAGGGCATGAGGCCACGCTGGTCTGCATCGTCCACGGCGAAACACAGCCTGAGGTATGTTTTAATTAAATTTCATACATAAATTTTCATTATCGCGCTTGCTCACTTGGAAACACGTACAGCAGACCACACGCCCCCGCAGCGGATATTACAGATACAGATATACAGATACACAGATTCCAGAGCCCATACAGAGTGCGGTCTATATACTCATATAGATATATATCCCATAGATTTAGACATCTCGGGGAGTCCATTGTTTAACGGAAAGTCGAAAGCAGATCCCTGCTGCCACCACGCATTAATTAAAAGTCTACAAAGGCAAATTGAAGTGCAACACAAAGTGCAGATAAGAGATAAAGGGAGGCAGGACTCGAAGAAGAAAAGGCGCCGAGCATAATTTTAATCAAACATCGCTCACAAAAAGTCCAAACGAGATGGCGACAATGTGCGAGTGGGAGCCAGCATGTCCTTGTCGTCCTGTTGCCCATTGCATTTTCGTATATTCAGTTTTTCTGCAGTAATTTCGACTTCACTTTTAGCCGAGCTCTCGGCTTTCGGCTCTCCCACTTCCCTGCTGTTTATTTTTGTGCTCTGCGCCTTTTGTCGACATTTAAATTAATACGCTCGGCTATAATTCAAAGTAAAATTGCGGAAGTTGCCAAAGCGGAAGTGAGAAGCGGCGGGCTACCAAAAAAAAAGAGCACAAGAGAAATGCCAAAGAACTGAAAAGAAAACCCAAAATGACATGGCGCACACACAGGCGAGAAGAGCGGAGCGGAAATGGAGGGATTGGGATATACTAGGGTGATCCTTGATTTAGGAAAATCATGACATTATCACTAGAAAATGATTTTAGTGCTCACTTAATAGGTCCTCTGCCTTGGTGTTTGCTTAAAGGATAGAATAAAGGAGTATATTCTTAAGATATAGCCTGCAAAGACTATTAAAGCCCCAAAGTACATGTGATAAACCCAAATAAACCCCAAGTCATTCTACTTAAAACCCAGTTATTTGTACTTCCTTGCCTTATGCCTGCCAAATAAACCTAAAATAGCAGATTGCAAGTCCTTAATTTCTCCAACAAAAAGAGTACAGGACCACCCTAATGTACACAGGACGAAACCCGAATAATGACTTGCAACCGCAAATGTCAATCCTTAAAATTATACAGCTCCCGTTTCATTTCACTTTGTTTCGTTTCATTTTGGCCCGATTCGTGGTAAGTCCGCTCGTCAGCTCGACTCCGCTCTGGGCCCGTTCCACGAATTTTCCGACAGCGCATTAAGTTTTTATGCTATTTAATTTTTAACATTTTCGTTTGCTCGTTTTCGTTTCGAGCTTGGCCCCTCGTTTTGTGGCCGCAAAAGAGTTGACTGCTTTCCAGCGAACAGCAGCGTAACTATTTATTTGCCAGCTAGCTGCAGCTTTTTATTTGCTCTGTCCGACACATTTCATTATAGTCGTTGGCCCTTACCCCCTTACCCCCCTGGACCCTTAACCCCCTGCAGCCCATGCAGCCCCTGACGTCAACGTCAACGCCTCCTGCTTTGCATTGTGCATGCCATCGCCAGTTGACGGAGCTGTGGGCGGCTTCATGGGTAGGGGGGCGTGGCATTTAGTAGTCTTTGAGAATGGCATTTCCGCATGCAATTTTTACATTTACTTTCCTCTCCTCTCGTTTGGCCACAGTTCGTCATTTTCTCTTCATTCATTTAATTTTTCTTTATATTTTCCTATTTTACTTTTTTTTGTGTTGTGTTTTACTTTTCCTTTATTTTTGTATCCCTGTGGCTAAGTGTATACAATTTAACGCTTCCTTTTTGGGCACTTTTTTCGGGGCTCCGGTTTTTTATGTAACGAGCCTCCAAGTACTTGACTCTGCTGCAACTGCACACATACATATATAGAGAGAGAAATTTTCAAGTGTTCCACAGACGCGATTTTTTTTTTTTTGATTAGCCGCCGAGTTTTGTTGCTGTGCAGCCCTTAAATGTTAATTAAGGAATTCATTGGCATGTAAACCCTCCAGAGGCAAAGGTCAGTGTAATTAGCGTGCCAAAAATAAAAGGCGAAAGTTGGCAAATATCTGTGGCATGCCACACAGTGCCTGTAATTACGGTTGAAAAATCTGTTGCATAGAACTCTCATTCACATTCATTACGAGCGGAATTCAAATGTTGGAACAAAGGTGTAAATGATCGTCAGCCAATGGGACTAATGAGTCCTGATGCGAATAATAGGAATCTATATATATATATATAGCTATATGTGGCATGTGATGCATCATTATTCAGATTGTTCTGGTGCCGCGTGCAATTTTAATTATGTCTTGTCAACGACGAGCAGGCATTTCAAAGCGGGAAAAACCGCAAACTATGGCACACGAGGGGCATCATATTAATTATTTAGCGCGGATTGAAAGGTCCTGAATGTGCAGATGTATATATATTAACACACACACAAACACACACACACTCACATCCCCCAACTTCGCATTGGCACTTATGTGCATATTTACATATTAATTACGCATTGCACCACAAGCCCAAGTCTGGCATATTCATAATCCATTGATATTGTCGATTTGTTGCATAATGAATATCATAAACATGCCCTAAGCTGTGTCTATGTGCCGGTGCCCTCTCTCTCTCTGTCCCTCTGTTCCTTTCCTTATCCTTCAACCCAATGAAGCGCCCAACCCAACCACCCATCCGCAACGACAGCAACAAAGTCATTAGAGCAATTGTCATTAACATGAGCGACGGCAATGAGACAACATCATTATCAACGTCATCGGGCGGCAGTATTGTCAACGATGTTGTCGCCGTCATCGATGTCGGACGCATTAAACATGCAGCAGCATTTGACAGAGCCATCAACGTCAGCAGCTAACAGCATTAATGGGCGTCCGTTTGGACAGCCACTGTTCCCTAATACGCCCACACACCACCCACTGGGCTCTGGTCCGCCTACTGCAGCCCCTCCTCCTACCACACTCCCTAAACAAGGACCCTTGTTGGCCCCGCTCTGATGAGCTTTCATCGCTCATCAGCGAACGAGTGGCAAAGGGAGGGAAAGCGAGTTACTATATTGCAGCCATGCCGCTACTATGGCTTTTAATTATTTTGCAAATTAATTTCCAAATTGGTAATTTTCTTCACATTTACACACACACACACACATATACACACTCGACAACACACACCAACACAGGGCACGTAATGAGTTTTTGTGCCCGGGTGAAGGACTGCAAGTTGGCCTATTGGCCCGATCCGAAATGAGATGTTTAGATGGCACAAAATTGCGAGATAATTAGAGGATTCGTCGGTCTGGAAATTACTTTGCCAGGGAGGTAAACAAAAACTACTAGATATACACATTTTAAGTGGCAATTTGTCAGGAGTGTGTCGAAGATGAAGTTTATGAAGAGATTAAGGATTTTGTTTTGAGTTTGTTACACTTTTTATTGTTTAATATTTAGCTATTCAATTTAATTAATTCAAAGACTTTGTTAAAAAGCAGCATTAATTATATATGTTAACCTATTTATGTTCTTTTTTAGCCATTTACAAAGCTGTTGCAAATTGTAAACAAGCCTTTTTATGCTGAATTTACTAACAGCAGCTTTGAGTTTTCAATTACATTAAACAAGTTTAAATATTAAACAATTACAAAAACTAAATGTAATATAATCCCTTTTATTTTTGACTCTTTTAATTAGTTCAACTACTAACTATTTATAGCCGTTTGAAGTTTGTTTAAGCAAACTCGAAAGGCCTAACTTTTAAGGGACATTTATCAAATAATTGAGTGCGACATGTAGTCGTATCATATGTTAAAATTCAAGAAGTTTGAAGTGATTACCCGCCCGATTATGGACTTAATGACACAGTAGGCCAGCACTCTAAACTGCTGTTGAACTACAGTAATTAATTACGGCAAAGTTATTTATTGTCATTATCTAATTTCTATTAGCTTTCCCTTGGGCGGCAACTTCTGGGAGCAGCTGGGCCCTGGCCAATTGGTGTAGGCAACAACTTAAGTCAAACTGTGGCCATTAACAGCGACACCAGTAACACCAGCAAAACAAAAAAAAAAAAAACGTGAAGCATTGGCGATTCGTGTTCCACACGCAACTCTCCTATGTGCGTGCTGGCGTGCCAACGTGGCGTATGCGTAATTCCCACATGCCTCTTGCAATTATTTGTTTGGCTCTCATTTCTTTTTTTCCGTTTTCTGTTCTATGCTTTTTCTTTTCTTCCTCTTTTTGTTCTTTAGCGCGTTTTCAGTGGCAGCTGGCACCCATCTAACAACACTCTTCCTTTGGCAATTTCCGCTGTGCCAGCGAACGAAGGTATTGCATAATAGATTGCCAGACAGAGCGGAAGGGAAAAGGAGCTGGCAGCTAGGAGCTAAGAGCTAGCAGCTAGGATTCACAATCCAGGATCCATGGGCAGGAAAAGCACGCATACTCTTTTTCTTTTCATTCCTCTTTCCCTTTTTTGGCTGATTAGTGTTGATTGGTATTTCTCGCTTTGCTGCTCATCAATGCTAATTTCTTGCCGCTTCTTCGCCGTCTCAGCTCGCTTTGTTTTCCTCGGCCAGCTTCAAAGTTAGCCAAGTTTCTTGTTTCGAATCGATTCAATTCGTTTCGTTTCGATTCAATTCGCTTCCTTTTCCCGTCTTCACGTGCGCAACGAAAGCATTTGAAAATTAAGCACAAGTGCAAAAGATTGATTGGCGCAACATTTGCGTGGATCTATTAATGAAGTGCACACAGGATGGTGGGCGGCCAATCAATTGGCCCATCCATAGAGCAATTAATTCAGTTACCCAGGGAAAGTCTAGGAAAGCAGGAAGAGAGGTGGAGAAAAATATTAAATAAAATAATTTCTGGCCATTTTTCTGCCACGTCAACACTTACGGCTCGTTACGCACGGTTGAAGGAACGCCGGCGCCAGGATGATTTTTGGCCAATGATGATGATAGCAATCGAATATGAGGAGGGTTGAAGGGGAGTCAAAAACCCGTCCCAAAACTAGAGCTTAAATTAAGGGAAAAGCGTAAAATCAACACAGCCCAGCCAGCTGGCTGTGAAACAAAAGGCATGAAAAACGCAAACATCAACAATTCGGACAAATAACGGTATGGGCAAAAAACATTTATGGCACGACGGCATAACTGTAACTGTGACACGTATACATACATATATACATATACATTGGGAAATGGGTGGAAATGTCTAAGCGTGGTGGTGTGAGTGGAAAATATGACAACACATACGAGTATGCACTGCTGACAGCCATTTTAATGGAATATGCGGCAAAGCACCGCCGGCGTTAACTAATCTAGCCAAATAGGAGCAAATAAATACTAGACTTGAAAATAGAAATGCCACAGATAGCAGGCTACTAGCTCTCCTCTTGCTATTTGTTTTAATATTTGTGCCTTTGTGGGTAGACAGGAGATTGGATTTTGGTATGTACGTCATGCCATCGAGCACCTGCTGCTGCTCTTGCTTTTGGTGCTTTCACTGCTGCCCGTATCCCCTGTTAATTCGTGCGTTCTGTCCTTGCTTATCTGCCGTACTATGGCCCGTATCCGGCCGTATCCTGGCGTATCCTGTCTGCGAGATGTCAGCACGGCGACAGCCCGGCGCTGCAGCAAGTCGCGCGTCCAATTCATTTACAAAACACGCACGGTCCATCCGTATAGTTGGGGGAAACCCAACCGAACACCACACATTGCGATGGGTCCTTTTTCGGGATATGTTTGTACAGGATTCGGGACTTGGGTCTCGGGACTCGCACTTGACACACAAAACATGTTGTCGAAGCTGGCTGAAAAATATGTAGCAAACAAATAGGGACAAACAATGCCGAATCGAAGATGAATTTCATGGCTAGACGTTGGTTGTTGGCTAAGAGGGGGGGAAAAAATCTGATGGGAAATCAATAATCGACAGAGGGGCACGTCGATCTGGTTTTCAATTTCAACAGGAATTACGCTTAATTGACGCTCAAGTGACAGCCGCACGAAGTGCCAGTGGAAGTACTCTCGCCGCAAATCGTCTTAACTTTTGCCCCCACCTGTGAACCCACTCCCTCTCTCTCTCTCTCTCTCTCTCTTTCCTCGACCCCACAAACCTTAACCAACCTGAGAGTCTCAGGTACACAAAACGCAATCACGCACACTCACCTGGACACATTCGCCAGCTTACTAGTTTACCAGTTGGCAACTGCTCGTGCTCGCCTCGATTGACCAAGTTTTCAATTATTTACAGGTAATTTGGTTCAAAGACACCATGCAATTGGATACCACCGAGCGGCACATCATGGAGACGCGGGGATCGCGGCACACGCTGATTATACGCAAAGTGCATCCGCAGGACTTTGGCAACTACTCCTGTGTGGCCGAGAATCAGCTTGGCAAGGCACGCAAGACCCTCCAGTTGAGCGGAAAACCGAACGTTGCCGTTTTTAATTCACCGCCAATCAGTCAGTACAAGGACAGGTAAGATTTAGATTGAAAATGTATGTGTGGGGGATGGCAATGGCTATGGGTAAAGTTCGGGTGCCACGTGCCAAGTAAGACAATGCCTGAGTGGGTTGCCTAATTACGAGTGCAGGGCCACGACTTTGTAATTGAACATAAAATGCAAAATCAGGAACAAATGTCAGGTTTTCTGGCCTGATTGGACATTAGACACTGCTCGTGGATGATGATGATGATGATGATGCACTGGGTAACTTTATTAGATTAATTTCGTTGACTGACATGGCAACCGGCTGACGGACAGACGGACAGACGAATAGATGGACGTACAACTCTGTGGGCCGCCAGTGCGTATACGTAACGTAACGTATGAAACTTTTAATTGGATTAGCTGTCATCAAACACACGCACACACATGCACGGCTCATAAGTGAGCAGACAAAGGCAGTTGGATATGGCAAAGTGAGGGAAAGGTTTGGGCAGTCAGCCAAGCGACAAACAAGCTCACATCTCACGTCACATCTCACACCACTCGAACAAAATGGCAGTAGGAATAGACATGGACAGGCCGACAGCTAGGATAGCTTTACACTAGATGGGATTTTTATTTTTCTGTTACAGAGTAGTTTGGGGTGGAAACCAGGAACACCTTTTAATAATTCAACACGAATTGAATCCAATAATCTGGTGGAAAAAACTGATCAAAACTGGGCAAAAAGACAGATGGCGTTGGCCATCATAATTTGGAGCAGCCATATTGCGCATACGCCCCGTTAACGAAACTTTGCAAAAAGCAACTAACCGAACATTCTGGCCATGTCAACTTTTGCGCTGATTTCATTTCGTTTCATTTGGTTTGATTCGCTGCCGGAAACTGCTGCCGGCAATTAAGCTACCAAAAAGCCCGAATCGAGCATACAAAGTACCCAAAAGCGCTCCGCACTTTTATTTTTTTTTCTGGTCCCTACTCAACCGTCTGGCGCCAGTCGCCATTTGCCATTCGGCAGTCGACATTGGGCATTGGGCATTGGGCGGCTCTTCAATTGTTAATAATCATTTTTATTGCTTGCGTTAGTTTTATGCTATATGCGAAAAGTTTTCTGATTGGCGTTTTATGTTTTTATTGTGCCCAGGACTTGAAGTTATTAGTTCGCATGGCCCAATAATCATACAGAATACATCGAGAGCAAAACAAATAATGGCCCCGGCCCAAACAAAACAGGAAGCACAAGGACCCTCTCTCTCTCTCTCTCTGTATGGCATCCCAATGCTGATTAACATTCAAATTGTGTGCCGACTTTATCGCAAAGCAATGAACTTGCGCCTTTTGTAATGGCGAATTGCGACATCCAAGGAGAATGGAGTGGAGGCACCCTAATTAGTTGTTTACTTGAGCAGCTCCAGTGGAGTGTGGCCATAAATAACTTTGTCCATCAGCTCCGGCGACTAATGAGCTGCTCTAGCTTTAAAGCGTGTTTTTCTCGTGCGAGGGTGATCAACCTTTAAGCCAAGCTGGGGGAGGGCAATGGCCAAAAATGCAGTTTGCCCATCCCCTGTTTAGCTTCCTAATCACGGCACAATGCACCCAGAATGTTAGAGGAGCCAGAAGAGGTCGGTCATATAACTTCATTTACACTTGAGCTGAGAATGTGGCAGGACTGTTGGCTTTTCGGTTGAATGGACGCATTGTGCGAGCAGTTTCTGTAACCCAGGGAGCCGGGATGCGAGTCGCAAGATGGGAGCGGCGAGATGCGGGGCAGCTGGGCAAACACGGAGCCAATAACAAAGGCGAGGGCGGGCATTATGTTAAGACTGCAGTAACAGCAAACGACGGACCCCGAACAACAAAGCTCCTAGCTGGTTCATACGCAGTATCTTAACCGAGCCATTGTCGTCAGCCATTGATTACGTTGTTGTTGTCACTCTGGAGGTCCCTACTCCTGCTCCTGCTTCTGCTCCGCTTACTCTTCCTTCATCTTTAGCTTTAGCCATTCCTGCTGCTGCTGCTGCTGCTGCTGCTGACGTGACTGCCGGCTGCGTGTTGGCCTTAACTGCAATGGCAGTAGCAATAGCAGTAGCTGGGAGCTCTCAATGGAGAATTTAACAATTACATATTGATTGCCAGCGCCTTGGAATAAATCCCCCGCCAACTGTTGCACGCGAAAAACTTTGCGATAACCGAGCCACTCACTCACAAACTCCCTGGTAAACCCCTTCTCGTCTCCTTCTCTCTTTACAGATACAACATCTCCTGGGCCGTCGACTCGCACTCACCCATCGAAGAGTACAAGCTGTCCTTCCGCAAGTTGCCGCAAGGACACGAGGTCGTTGGCAATGCCATTGACTCGCCATCCTCCTCCTCGTCGATGTCCTCCTCCTCGTCCCAGATGTACGGCTCTGGGCTACATGCGCATCGGATTGGCAGCAACATGGGCGGACTGTCCGGTTTGTCTGGCAGTGGCAGCTACTCCGGCTACGGCAACGTGATGCACTGGGGCCACAACGACTGGCGCAATGTCGTCCTGCCGGCCGTTCCCGTTTCTCACCACTATGCGCAGGGCATGAGCTACATGGTACGCGGCCTGGATCCCGATCAGCACTACGAGGCCACCGTGCAGTCCAGGTGAGTCACCATGGCGCCAAATTATAAAAGCAAAACTTTGCACCGGGCTTTAAGGGGATTGGGAAAGACCACAGTGGTTCAACTTCAATGCAAAGTTAATCAATATGAGTTTAATAGTAATGCTTAAAAAATGTATCTGATTTCAACCACTGTGCCTTGCCACAGAATCAGCTTGGCTAATTTGGCCACTCGAGATATTATTTATAGTCGCCAAGCGGGGGAGCTGTCATCATTAGCAATCATTTGCATATTCATACCGGTAATGTTACTGAGCTGCATAATTAATACAGCACACGGTTATCCATTTCAGGAATCGTTACGGATGGAGCGATTTGACCAACAGTTTTGTCTTCTCCACATCATCGAATGGTGAGTACTATTTGCCGTTTCCCGTTTCTGTAGAGCGTCGGCAAACACTAAAGCGATTATTTTGCATAAGGCAAACATGCAAATACCCTAACAGAAAATTACAGGAAAATACATACGTATACCTAAGAAATGTTAACTCTTTTAGGGTATTACTACCTCGGCTAGCCGTGGGTCAATCGAATCGCATTCGCTTGTTTACTTTCTGTTGCTGGCTGCATGCATAATAATTTGGTATTATGCGCTGCTTTCCCCGATAATCCACAAAAATCACAATGAAGCTGCAGCACGCAAACACAAAGGCAAGCCATAAAAATAGGAGAGAGAAAAAACTCACCAATCGCTTTGTATCGCAGCCCGAGGAGAAAATATGTTCGAGCTGTCATAACTTAATGCAGTTAAATTTATTGCTAAAGCGGGCCAAGTGAAGCGTGAAGTGAACACGTCGTCCTCTCGTTTGTTTTCGTTGCGGGAATTTCCGCAATCATTTCACACTCACACTTTCCGTCCACCTTGCACATGCACAGCATGTCTGTTAACACACACATGCACCACTCTTTAGTGCACTCACACAAGTAGAAGCTTCGGAGCTTAATGATTACGTCTAGTAGTAATCAGTTGTTTCTCATTCAAGTCTTTATATATGCTAAAGAATATCATATCATTTCGAAGAAACCTTCATCGCTAGTAAAAATGTCATATAGTGTTGCATACTTTAGGGGTAGCAAATGAAAACAAAAAATTATTAAATATGTAGCATACTTCTAAGTGGCCTCATTAATACAAATATATATTAATATTTTAAAATTATGAGCTATTTAAGCAACATTTTTTTATTAACCAAATCAAGTTTAGACTTGCTAAGCTGGTTGAACTAGTAATAATAAAGAACTAATAGGTTAGGGCCAAAACACGTGCTGACCCGGCCACACTTATTCCTGCATCAAGTATACGCTGCGTTGGCAGTTACTTTGACTGTCAGTTGATAAATTCGCGGTTGAGGGAATCTCCATGTGTGTGCATAACTAATTGATGGCAAGTTCGGGCTTACAGTCTTGACTCTGCATAATGAGGTTGAAAAATCAAATAAGAGCACAAGGCATCGCTAATTGGATGTTGGCGAGCCCGGAAGTCCTGTCGAGTTCCTTGAAAGTCACCTTCGTCGCGGCAATAAATAAACAAAGATGCACTGCCTCGATTCCTTCCTTACCAGACTACACTCTGCCCAACCCGACCATCCCAGACCAGTCAGTCAGGTGGGTAGATCTAAATGCGCACTCGAAATCCATTTATATGCAAAACTATTGTTGCGTTGCATACGGAATTCGTGTTTCTCGGTTGTGGGTAAAGCGGGGAGGTCGGTGAGAAGCGGAGGTCTGCCAGCGTGAAATGTGGCGCGCGCAGAAAAGCGATTTTCCATGCAAATGACGCACATTTGGCGGCGCCGGCTCCAGATCCGTTGTCTTTTGCCATCTTTTGGCTGCCATGCGAAATGCATGCAAATGCAAATAGTGCACGGTTCACTGCCGTTGTTGCGGCTGTTGCAGTTACGCTGATGGGTCTTCTGGTGCTCCAGCTCCAGCTACTGCTCCTCCTGCTCCTGCTCCAGCTCCTGCTCTGCAGTTCCCTGGGCAAACAAACGCATAAATATGCAGTGGCAACAGCAATAAGAACAATAACAAAAGAAATATGCAATAAACACGCACATGGCGAGCGAGATACTCATACTGCCAGCCAGCAGGGACAAAGCGAAGCGGCGAAAATTTAATAAAGCAAAACGTGAATGCCGCACACACAAAAGGGCTTCATTCTCTGCATGCGGTAAGGGTAGGGAAGGAAATGGGAATAAGAAAGCTATAGCCTTTCGATGCCAGGAAAAGTATCGATGTCGCCTCGCCTCCTGGCAAGACGTGTTGCTTTTGACGGTCTGCATCCAGACACGTATCCGCATAAGATGCTGGCATACAAACTCCTGCCGTTCCCAACTTCATTACGCGCCATTGAAATGCCATTCCTTTCGGTTCACATACAACTACAAATATGAGTGGGAAGCCATCGAATCGCAACTTCTTTGGCGGCAATTTATGGCTGCGCTTTGTGCTAATGGAAATGACTTCATTATATTTTCGAAACGTAAACAATTTACGCAATTAGTGACCGAGCATGCGATGCAATAATAACCGCAGCAGCAGCAACAGCAACAGCAACAGCAGCAGCAGCAGAAGCAAGGTGCAATCGAGCAAAGCGGCAACTAATGAGCCCGGAGTGTCATAACAACAACCCTAGCACAATAACCGTAACACTAAAGGACGACAATCGTCCTAGACTGCTATATAGCCACAATGGCAGACAGACAGTCGCAGTCACAGAAATATCACCAGTTCATTTACCTGTGCCACGGCACGTAAACGTGTCCTGGAAGTGGGGCAAGGTGGCTCCACAGGACACCTGGCTTTAACACGGCCACTAAGAGAAAGAAAAGGCCAATTGAGGGTGGTGTGGAGTTCACTTTTGGACTTCATTCGCCGCGCATTTAAGATCCCAGCATCCGCACATCCTCAAGCTGCAAATGGCAATTGTGGAAATAATAATACTCTGACTCTTATTGCAAAGCCAATGGAAAGCTCAACAAGTTAGATGGTAGAAGTAGATATTATTAGGAGAAACTATTATTGAGGGGATTTCAATTTTTAGCTTTGTAGTCTTCATAACTTTTGTCTTTTGGTTTATTTCTACTACATTTGGTAGTTATCAAAATACATATAGAATAACTTTATTAAAAATCTTTCTAAGTACTCCCAATTTAATGAAATCATAAATAAATTATATGATAATGACAGAAATGAACAGTTTTCGACCACAAACTTTTGCTAATAAAATGTGAAGAGCCACCAGAAACGAAAACATTTGATCACTACTTAGAAAGACAATTTATACAGGACATTATAGGTCAGCTTAAGGAGCCCCTTAGGGCATATCAACTTCGATTTTCCTTGTCCATATTATACACATTGCGAATGGCCTCGAAGTGCATTTAATTTTTACGAGTCTTCGTCTGCCAACGCGACCCATTGTGCCGCTGATGTTATCCTTGTTGGCTTTGTTTTCGTTTGTGCTGCCATTGTCATAGCCCCCCAATGCGTGGATGTGACTAAAGGAGGAGGGTGAGGGAGAGAGGTGGCAATGGAATAGACTCCCGACCAGGTATGCAGCTATTTACATCATGGAAGTTCAGTTATAGTAACGACTCCAGAGCACGCGGGCTGAGAGGGCTCAGGGGTGTGGGGTCAGGGGTCTCATAGAGCGGCACATAGAGACATAAAAAATAATGCATTTTGTGCACGCGAAAAAATACTCGACATAAAGCAAAAAAGAAGTTAAATAAAATTACAACATAAAGTAAGGCAACGAGTGTTCAGTCTGCGATGGTGTGCGAATGTTTGTGGGGGCATTGGGCGGACGTTTGGCAGTAAGAAATATCAGAAAATGAAAGACTCGTTGAAAGTTGCGTAAAACTTGCTGAAACTGCCAACTGAGGAGAGCTGCAACAGCAACAGCAATACCAACAAGGCAAGGCATTCAAACGATGACAAAGTGGACCCTTACTGCATGTCCTTTAGAATGCGTCGGGGCAACGTCGCCGCTCCTGGCACTGAGCGTCTGCTCAAAAACTTTCAATTTACTCGTCCTAGTCGACGATGGCGACCATCGTATCCTCCGGCCCGTCTCATACCCTAACCCCTCTCCTTCCAACCGCCGCCCCTGTGCGTTTGAAGCTTTTGTGTTGCCGCTGGGAATACTTTAGCCGAGGCCCCACTGAACAACTGCAGCAGCGTCATCGCTTTTTTTGCGTTTCTCTATTTTGTTTTTGCGTTTTTTTTTTTTTGTTTTGTTTGCTTGCCTCCCCATGTAAGTTGGAAAGTTTGCCAAGGCATATATAGAGGAGAAACGGCGAAAAAATGGAAAAAACGCTGAGAGAAAATGAGGAAAGAGCCGGCCGAAGTTTTGTAGTGGCAGCATAACAAGCACACAGGCAAAAATAGCACCGCGCAGCTCTCAGTTGCAAGATGTGTAATGCGAATTCTCCACGTGAATGTTATGTTTATGTAAAGTGCAGGTCCCACAATGCCAGCCCAACACCATGGAGCTTGTGCAGCTTGTGGAGGAGACACACAGACAGACAGACAGGGGAACAGAGAGAAACAGATAGAATGACTGAGACACTGTTGCTGAAGTTCCTGGCCACAAGTGCTGAGTGCTCGCATACAAAGGCATGTGAAACTGCATTATACTGCTCCATAAGTATTCCAGCAGAGCTAAGCTTTAATCAGGGCTTTAAGGGCCAGGGACCCACTTTGAAATTCCACCCAAAACATCAAAAAGAAAAAAAAAAACAGTAAAGAACATAACAAACCAGATATAATGGAGAGCCAAATCCGTGCGGTCATCCGACGACAAACGAGCCACTAGTGCACGTGGAGCATTGTTGAAATGTTACTGGGCTGCCAAACTTGAAAATCCGCGGTGAGGCTGCCGCTGCAGCTGCAGCTGCTGCTGGCGCTGCTTTTTGCGAATCTCTAATAAACTAGCAGCCCAACTGCCCCGAGCTGAACGGCCAATGCCAAAAACCGTCATGTCACCTGTGCGAAAAATCGGATTTGCCTGCTGTACTTACGGACACCAGCAACAAAAAAGCACCAGGACAACAAAACAACAGCCTTACAGAGAAAGAAATTCTGTTCTACAAACTTTTGGTGTCTGATTTTACCTCCACTAACAACAACCTTTGAACTGTATCCTTTAACAAGGAATAGGATTTTAATAAACATTGCTTTTACCATCATAAAACTCATAGATAGCCCCCGTTTTTTCTCTGTGCAACAGCAGCCTAACAAATCCTCGACCGTCCATGTCGATTGCATTTGGCCATTTGTATTTGTTGCCGCACCGCAATGCTATTACGTGAAAAGCGCGTGGAGGATGTGGGCGATGTGCAGGATGGCCAGAGGACGACGATGTGAATGTTGAGGATATGGAGGAGTCCGAAACCGGACAGGTGCCGAAAGCCGGACCCTCGCCAATGCGGCGACATCGATGGCGGGCTCGCGCTTATTTAGCTGCACAAACGAGAAATCACAAGTGACGTTACGGTTTTGTGCCGCCAACCGCAAGCAATAAAAGTCGCCACGACAACCGAACGGTATGGTACCATTGGGCGGGCCACATTAGCCAGTCGGCCACATGGTCACGAATCCAGCTGGTCTGTCCTGCATCCATAGTCCCATCCCCTGTCTGCCATCTTCCTCGAACATCATGGTTCCGTGGCCGCGTCTGTTTTCATTACAAAATTGCCGGCGTTAGCTGGCACCGCAATTGACAATTTGCTTTTATTTTATGTTGACAGTTGGGGAATTTATATGGTAATGCCAGAGGGAGTTTGAGTGTGCATCGCATTTGATCGCCGCCCGTCGGCCATTTTTCTTAGTCGCTTTACCGCCGGCCAATGGCTAAATGGCCAAATGAATAGAGACATATGGGAGTGGGTTTTAGTCCAGATGATGCACTGGGAGATTGTTGGTTTAAGCTTATCAAGGTTTTCTGTTATAAAACCTATTGAGGTGGAATATTAAAATATGAGAACAGCTATATTTACCTTTATTTTCGAAATATCTTAAACACTTTTAAGCCTTAACATCGAAGTCGAATAGTTTTTAAAACCGTAAGCCGTGGCTCTGCAGTTTTTAATGGGTTATGAAAAATATGCTATGCCTTGTTTTATGATCTTCGTTTTAACAACCTGCTATTAAAAAGTATAAAATAAAATTCGCTTTAAGTGTAGAGTGTAGAGTGCATTCAAGGCGGGAATTCGAAAATGAAAGGTGTCATGTTTCGAGGCGTTGGCAGCCCAGATGCCCAGATGCCTCGATAGATAAGCTGTCCCGGTTGCGCTGGCCAAACACGTGTGCAACATGCAACCTACATTGATACCACGTCCGTCGCTTTGGCGGCGCCCCTGCTCAGGTCCATCCTTGGACTAGCATCTCCGCTCGAGACCCCATCCGGAGGGGGAGTCCGGCATACGATGTTGGCTGTCTATTAAAAGTGTCAGCAATCACTGGGGGCGGGGCGGGCATCCTTTCTTGTTGACTGGACTCCGCATCAGTAGATGTGTATGCTTTAGATATGTCGCTGCCGAGTGGCTGGCAGGCCATCAAATATTTATAAGTTTTATTCGCCCGCAACTTGTGACAGTGCGGCAATCGACAGATAAAGAAGTCGATGTCCCTGGCAGCCAGGACATTTCATTAAAATCGATGTGCGGACGGATGATATATGCAGGAGCAGATCTGGCCCGTCCGTAGGTCGATTCATTTACGGGTGTTTACAGAGTCAGGGGATTCGCCTTTGAATCCCGACTCCAGCGGCCAAATGCTCATTTGTCATTATTGACAGATGCTGCACGTTGCCATTTTAATTGGCGGCCTTAACGAAATGAGCTGGTTGCCGAGGATCCGTGGAATGACCTCACCGTTCAGCCCACCCACCGACTTGCCTGCTGCCAAGCCAGCCCACTTGATTGCCCATCTGCATCCGCATCCGCATCCGCAGTCGCAGTCGCAATCGCCTGCGCAAAAGTAAATCCTACTGATTGCAGATTGCACTTTAAGCGTTAATGATTTATTTACCCGCATGGATTTGATTTAAATATCGGCCAGATAGGATGGGGCATTTTATGTTAACTTTAATACAAGCACCGTAGGCACTTTGGCAATTGCACTTTCCCTATTTTCAACTATCTCCTAACTTTCAACGACTGCTCCACGTACTAATTGCAGATGGACCTGTCGATCTGTCCATCTTTTTGAATCACGGTCTGTCAGGTTAGTCTCGTTCTAGCTTTTTCTCTGTCTGCCAACTCTCTCTCTCTCTCTCTCTCTAATTCTTTTTCCCTCTCTGTATGCCTTTCTCTCTTTCTCTCTCTTTGTCTCTTTGCATGTTTCTATCTGCATGATATTTATTTTTTAATACCCTGTATACACAGCCCAATATTTGCGCTAAGCTAGTCTGATGAAAATGAAATTCAGCAATATAATAATAACAAAATAAAATCGGAAATAAACCAAATCCTATTTATATATATATAGACCGATATATATATATATGAAATACGTTTGTCCGGCAGTTTACCAACTATTTGGCGTGCCATTTCCGTTCCCATTTCAATACTCGATCAACAAGAGAAAAACTAAATAGAAAAAGACCGAAAACTGGTTTAATGTACGCCATTGAAAGTCCGTTTAGATGGCAGGTGTGTGCATGTGTGCGTGTTTATCCTGGCGATATGTATACCATATATGTCTATATCTAAATATATATATATATATATATCCATACCCATTCAGTACATTTCAATCTGTTGACTTGCATGCCCGACCAATTTGTTTTACGGCCATAGCCGAATGAATATGGAAATGCACACATTCGTGTGCGATATGCCCTGGATGATTTCTATGTACCATTTCTTTTTGAGGCCTTTTCGAGCGGATTAATAAAAGCGAATTGCATCCATCTTTATTGCAGATAACGAGATGAGGGATCTGAGCGTCACCTTCTACGGCAGCAGCGCCATCAACCGACAGAAACTGGGCCTGTTGGCCCTGAGTTCCGCCACTCTGGCTCTGAGCCTGCTCGTGGCCTAATTGCTTTCGATTTCGACCTGAGTTACGAATTTCACCGCCAATAGCACAGTAAAGCGAATCGTTTGACTTTGATCTGGGACAACGATGGAGGCAATCGACAGGCGATTGAAGGAGGTTGGATACCGAAGTCCTGCACAACACTCTAGTCCTTAAAAATCCAGTAGCCTAAGCGTACTCGTAAGAGTAATTACAACTACGATTTCTCATTGTTCGATTCGAATTTCTCAAGCAAAGTTTAGTGAATTAATCAAGAAACGGAAAACGGAACCATACATTATACATGTAACAATCAATGTAAAAGAGCATGCAACTGTTCAAACTAGGACCCATAAAGCATACATAAATACACACTAAACTACACTACACTGCGCCACTACAACCACTCACATTCGCCGACCATTCTCAGCACTCGAAACCAGTGTACATAGATTTTATTGCATACTCCTAGGTATAAACTGCACCAAAGAAATAGTCACTCGACGAGCGAAGAAATACATTTACATATAACTAGTACGTACTTGATGGAGTTGAGTAAGAAGTCAGTGGCCATAAATGGCCGGGAGTTTAGTATTCGGGGTGATGGCGGAATGCTGAGTACTTTGTAGCATTATGCGGATAGTTAATTTAATTAATATATAAATGCATAAACTAATTATCGGATACGCCACTGCCGCCACATGCCACACGCAACTTGCCACACACCAAACACACACACACATACACACAATATGCATTTTAGTCAAATTTCAGATAGAATGGCAGACTCTAACTAATTTGCAGGATTCGAGATGCGAGAAACGCATTTCAATGGCTTACAGCAGACAGCGTTTTCTAGCTTTTTGCAATTTGTATGTATGTAGCCGCTAAGTAGCTTAATTGACCGCATAAATGCAATTAAATTAGTCAACAGACCTATTGATTTGGTATGTAAATGAATCTACACCCAAAACTGGCAGCATAAAGAAGCTTCCATATGGCTATGGCTGGAGGATTACAATTAGGTTGTAAGTGTAAATAAGTATGATTGATATGTAAGAGCAGGCAGAATATAATAGTGAATCGCAGCAGTAATAATAATAATATAAAATAAATAAATATATATATACGAGTATATATCCAAATGGATGCCCGATATTGCTGGGCTTAGTCTCGTACACCGAAGAGAAGGTGTGGCCAAGGTTGTTTTATGTAAATATATTGCACCACAGTCATTCGAAATCTCATGATATATATGTACTTACAGTTCGATACTCGTATTGTTGCTTCACAACGCAAAACAAAGGCACCTTTCGTGTTTGGTTCTCCGGCACCCTGTATTATCCTTTTTGGCAATCCAACAAACCGAAGGCAAGGCCAGACAGAAAACGCACCTTAGATGCAGTCAGTCACACGTATGAGCTAGACGATAAGTGAATATTGTAATGAGATTAACGATAATGACGCCTACATATAAATAAATGTATAGGAAAATAACTTTACTTGATTTCCAAATAAACTCAGCCATATACAAGATACGCATTCAGCTTTTCTAGAATTAAATAAATGTCAAGAGAGGCAGTTGAAAAACAAAAAACAAAAACCAAAAACCAAAAAAAAGAGAAGGATAACATTTAGCATAGAACTATATGTGTAATTAATACTGCTGTCGATTGATTGGCCACACAAAGCGATAAGTGAATTACAGTAAAATATAATTTGTGTTAATGTGAATGTAAATGGATGTGCAACAAACATATAACAAAGGAAATCAGCAGTTAATGTCCTTTAAGTCCCCATGCCCCACGCCCAAATCCCCCTTAACCACCAAAAATCCCCACTTAAAAGTTGCTTTGGTCCGGCGACTGGAGCCCATCGATAAGTTAGTTAAATGATGATGTCGACGGTACTCAGTATATATACACCTGAATATAGCGATTGAGCCGTTAATTGTATGTGTAATTTACAGCTTAGTTATAGTTATCTTATTTTGTTAAATGCAACAAATACCAAATCTACTTTAAAGTAAAATAATATTACTAACCTACACCAGAACATTTTCGGTATTGAATGTATATGTGACTAGAAACCGTATGTGTATGTATATTTGATTATTTTGTAAAATTTTTCAAAAACTATAAATAAAGTCTATATTACCATATAAATGTAAACCCGAGGCTTCAACCTTTTCTGTGTTTTCTCATAATTTATGCAGCCCTTTTCAGAATGTATTTTTCCACTTTTGCTTGGATAGTGGATAGTGGATTACCCTCCACACAGGACGATGATGCTCATCAAGCACCCTTGGTCTCCTCCTGCTGCTTCTCGTTTCCTTCTTGAAAGCAACATTCGGAGACGTTGCAAAATAAACACAGATGCAGATGCAGATACGGATTCATAGTCAGTTCCTGATTCAGATGCAGAGATGCAGCTGGCAAACGCGACTTGCAAAGGGTCGAGGAGCTGGTTGCGTAAATGCAAACTTGGTTTATTTTATTTACTCCATCCAGTTGTCATAGCCCAATGCAGCCGGCTCACCTTTTGTGTGTTGCTCGGTGATGGCTATGTAGACATTTAAGTGAGCCGGTAGAGATGACGACCCATCCAACCAACCACCTCCACATCAACCCATCACTCCCATCGCTCCCATCCTACCCACATGATGGAATGGAAATGAAAATGGAAAAGTTTTCATGCTACCTCCCAGCATCCACTCGGCTGCCAGATTGGAGTAGCAATGGTTACACAAGCTCTGTTGGCAGCTCGAGGAAAAACTTTAAATGGAAAATTTGACAGACAGACATAACGGTATTTTAAATGCGATCCAAATCACACACATGCGTCCCAGCAGCATTGTGTGGCCATCATCAGCTTAGGCCAGGCGATATGTTTGCCATCCATCCATCTATACATCCTTGGTTTACCTATTCCGAATCCGAGGAGAGTTTAAAGTGGGCTTTCTGTTGAGTAAATTGAAAAGTTTAGCCGGCTAATGAAAACGTCTGGCTCTCTCCTAGGTCCGGCATTAAAGAACGTGTGCGCTGCATTTGTTAAATAACCTTTAAAAATAAATATATATAATTTCTCCGAAAAAGCGGGAATAAAATGAACAAATTTCAAGAGCTCATGCTGGCGGCAACCGGGGAAATTGCAAGGTGCAAATGGCATGAAATTACCGCAAAGAACTGGCGACCCAAAATGTCTTCCCCCGGCTCCTTCTCCACGGTAAGTAAATGGAAAGTGAATGAGGGAACGAGTGAGTTTCGGGTCAGGATGGGTATGGCGGCTGGATATGTGCAGGGGCCAAAACAAAACCCAAAACAAGGCACCGAATCTTCCACACGTACGTACGGATGTGCCATGTTACCATGTGCGTGTGTGCACCTCATTTCCGGCCATTGTTTTCGGCCCCGTACACGAGTCTTCTGACTGCTGGGGCTGTTGTTGAGTCAGGTCCTGGTTTTGGTGCACTCAGAGAAATCTGCAGGGATATGTAATCACTAAGGAAGTCAGGTAAGTGTCTAATTGGTAACTAAAATAACGTAAAGCAAAGTTCAAAGAGCTATGATGCAGAATCTATAGAATGTCGGGATCTAAACTAAAGCCATATACTCAGTAAACAACTTCTGAGTTTCTCAAATTTCAAATCCTGTTCCTTTTTTCGGTGCACTTTTTGGATATGCTTCTAGTTCTGGTTCTGGGTGCTGTTCTCAATGCCATTCTCGTTGCCGTAGTCGTACCCGTTCTACTTCCTGTTGTCGTTTGGCTGCTGTTTTCACGTTATGAGCTACTTGTTGTCCCGGTGCCTCTGCCGCTGCCGCTACCTCTGCCTGTGCCTCATTCTAGTCCTTCTTCTTCCACCGCCTTTCACCAAACACACACGCACACGTGCAGATGTGCAGATGTGCAGATCCGTAGGCCTGCGTGTGTGCGACATGTTTACATGAAGTCCTTTACCGCTTCTAATGCATTATGGCAACAACACGAACGCCACTCGACGCTGCTTGTATTTATCGTATGTTCTTGCCCCGGAGCCTCAACCGGGCTAGTTGAATGCGACAAGCGGCAACAGCAGCAGCAGCAGCAGCAGGAGAGGCAGTAACTGCAACCTGAAACCTGCAACGTGCAACATACACAAGCACAGGCACAAACACAGGTTGAAATATCACAGACGCATCGCACACAGACACGCTGGCAAAAACAAAGACACACTCACACCGCTGCATAAATATTTGCATACGATATTTATTATGCTAAAAATAAGCCAAGATTTAAAAGCAGGCGAAATAAGGCCAACTTGGCTGTGTTTAAGGGGGAGAACGGTGCATCATAATGAAGGCGAGGCGGGAAAAATACAAATGTCATGACAACTCTCACTCAAGCAGCCTTCACACCTGCCTTTCGCTTTTGCACACCGTATCCCCTTTGTGCCACCGGAAGTGGGTCACGTATGCGCCTTAGTCTCCATGCTCTCCTTGGTCTCCTTGGTCGAGACAAAGCGGAGCTGCCTGTAATTAAGCCCGCGAAGCTGATGATGATGACGTCGTTGCCAAATGGGCTCGACATTTGTTCCTCAAGTGCCGACGCCGGATGTTGGTTAGGTGCTCGGGAATATGATTTGGGTGCGGGTGGCAAAGGCGGCATAGTCACCCTATCATCCCCCCTTTTGGAAATTAACTTAAATTTTTAAAAGCTTAATTCGCTTGCCAGTTCGCTAAGCGGCGCCTAAGACGTCTGTAATGCGTTTAGCGATAGGCATTTGCATGCTTTTAGGCGCGCCGCATCTAGAAACAAAACAGAGGCGAGCGAATAAAAGGGAGCAAAGAACAGAAACAAAAGCCTGCCATAAAAAGTGCTAAATCCATTTTGCAACAGACGGCTAAACCGGAGTAGAAACCAACCCACCCACTGGCCTGCCAGACTGGCTGTGCGTGTAACAAGTGCCACTCAAAAAAAGCAAAGCAAAAAACAAAAAAAAAAGAAAGGCGGGCTGGATGGAAACAATGAAGGCAAAAAGCACTTAATAGGCTGCCACAGCGCCGTTGACATGGCCATTTATATGCCGCAACTTGGCAGCGTTTTTAATTCATAATGTAGGAGGTGGGTAATGGAGAAGGAGGAGGAACAAAGGCGGTGACATGGCCTCAGTGCCCAGGATGTCGGAAAGACTTTGCGACACTGGCTTTCGCTTCTAACCCAAGCGGGATGCTGTCCGCTGCCTGTCAGTTCCTCCGTTTTTCATCCGCAGCCATCTCGCAGCGGGCACTCTCGATATCGAGAGCTGAAATTGATTCCATTTTCGATTCGTATCCAGATCAATCTCTGTTTATCAGACAGGCGGCTGCCATGGATTTTTGTTGAAAAATATTTGCCGAATAGCCTAGATTTAAGCAACATGCAATCCGCTGTTCATCAAAGCTGACAGTTATGCCAATTTTGTTATGAGACCGAATGTAATTAATAAACTTAAATCGATAGAAGAAGAGTGGACAACATGAAAAAGAGAACTAAATACGTATTCGTAATTTAGGGGCTTTAGCAGAAAGCCCATTGAAGGCATAAAAGCCCAATGTCCAATGCTCGTTAATGAAGGGGGAAAATAAGCCATGCCTGAATAGTCCTTCGATGCCTTAGTTGGGGCTGACTCCTTTGTTGTTTGTCCTTCTTATTCATAACATTGCTGGAGCAGTCGTGAATCTGGCGGTCCTGCTCTTTGTTTGCTCTTTAAATTGGGACATCGCAACGTATACGTTATATCATTTATAAATACGCCTAACAACAGGCCCCATACGTATTGATGTGCAGCTAATGCGACCCCAGAGAATGACTGGGCAGCCGTTGTACTTCCAGCCACTAGCTGCTCCATTGGCATCAGGAGCAGCAACAGCAACAGCATCAGCAGGACCAGCAGCAGGAGCAGCAGGATCTGAATCAGAAGCTGAAGCGCTAACGAGCTGTGCCTTGGCTGCAATTGTTGCCAGAGCTGAATGCCAAAGCAAATAGCAGCTGAGGGGCAACTGAAACTAAAGTCAAATGCAGCAAAAAGAATTGTAAAAAACGAGGCAGGAGAGCAGCGTACAACAAATAGCAAGTTTGTTCGGCGCCAGGGACACCAAAAAAGGGGTGGTGGTGAGTGGAGAAAGGGGCGCAAGCGGGTGTGGCACAACCGGCAGGCAACCAAATCAGAAAATCCGATTTGCATGGATTTGTTGGTTTCTTTTGTTGGCGTAGAGTATCCTTGCCACTGACGCCAATGCTGTTGCTGCTATTATGCTGCACAGAATTGTTGCCGTTGACTTTTTGTTATTTTTTCTTAATGTCTGCTCAATAAAAAAAAAAAAAAAAACCCGCCTCCCGATGCCAGTGGCATCGCCTTTGGTGCCCGCTGAATTTTGTTTGTTTGTTTGTTTGTTTCTGCTAAATTGTGTTTTCCCTGTTCATTCATTCGTTTGGCTTTCCCATCCGTTTTCTGTTCTTTTCTGTTCAGTTGCTGCGGAATTTTTCAGTGATTTTACATGTAAGCATCCTTGTGAGCTCTGTGGCATGTCCACAATTGAGGCAACCACCACTGCGAGTCCTGCCAGGACAAGCTTGCCCTTTCGGACCGCCTCGCCTATCGTCCATCTAGAATCCCTGTCCGATTTTATATGTTTACCCCGCTTACAATTTTGTTCTCTGTTTCTTTTCATACCCCGCACTTTGTGTTTCCGAGGGTATATTGTATTCGTATGTATGTTATGGGGAATGCAAATGAAGACGAGCTGTGAGCTCAGAACATGACTATATTCCCTATTGCACTATTGTAAAATAAATCCTTTCAAAATATCCGGAAATGGTATTTAGCTTAAAGCTTTCAGTTTAAAGTAGGTCATGGAATATGGAATCTCTTAATAATCTTTAAAGTAATCCTAAGCCATTTATTCTTCAGTTATTAGGTAAACTTAAGTCGAGTTGATTGATCTAATAAGTCCGTTTTTTATATCTCTTTCTGAGGGCAATTCCCGTGGAGTAAGCGTCAACGAAGTTGTCGTTTTGGACTGCTACATCGACCGGCTGCTTGGGGGAGTCTCCGGCCCCGGACCCACCTTCCACTGCATGTCCGACTCTCTGAGTTTCACGAATTCGCCTCCTCCAGTTGCCAATTGTTCGATTCTATTGCACACT